GCCTTGTGGCCTCTGGAATTTCCACATCACTGAAGCTGTCGACTCCCCAGGCGTGGGCAGCAGAGCAAGCTCCTCCTATTACTCAGCTCCGACTTCTCACTATTAAGCAGGGGCTCCTTGAGGAAGATTGATTGACCACATTAAACGAGCCTCCATGTGCTCGATGAGAAAGTCACAAGACAAACGGCTCCTGCTGCATGCCTCCAGCCCACCACCCCCTGTTTCTGTTACATTTGGGCCAGAGTCATGGTGGATGAATTTGGGTGTAGTTCATTTTCTGCCTTACATGATAAACTTGTCAGCTACCCGTATGCAGGGAGTTCATTTGCAAGGCCACCTGGCATCCCAGCTCTGCTGTCCTGCTCCCATTTCACCCTGTCTAATGAGCCAGGACCTGGTTACTGTTGGTTGGCGCTGAGCTCTGGGGCCCTGCACAACCTGCCTTGATGGTGATGGCTCAGTCCCCCCTCAGGGGTCCCTCGTTCCTGCCTGGAGGTGACTGGGGCACTGATGCCTGGGGAGCTGTCCTTGTTTGCTGTCAGCTTTGGGTTGTCCAGCTGGGAAGGAGTGTGCTAAGCCTCCACTCTCCTGCCCAGAGCATGTGTTAGGCCTTCTCCCCAGCATCCTGGCTAGACAGGCCTGCCCACTCCACATTGGCCTTGGGGCTATTTCTAAGTAAATTTTGGTGTAGGCAGCTACCCAGCCTGGGCTCTCAGAGCTCACTGAGATGTGGCCAACAGGGCCTAGATGTGCAGCATTGGGGCTGCCCACAGTCCCTTAACTGGCCTCCAGGCCCACACCCTCCCCAGGCTGCTAGGCCTCCTAGATTCTGCTCTGACCACATCAACCCCTGCCCAAGATCCTTTGGTGGCTCCTCACTGTTACTAGATGGAGCCCATATTCCCGATTCTGCCATTCACAGCCCTTGATGATCTGTTCGCAGACTGGGCATTGGGGTTGCTTGCCTGGGATCAAGTCTAGCTCCCTCAGTTTACTGGGTGCCTTTAGGCAAGACATTTAGCTTCTCTGTGAATGGGGATGATAAAAATGCCTATCTCATGTTCATCAATATGAAGACTTAGATTTATGCCTGGAACATATTAGGTGCTCAACAAAGACTAGCTAATAGCATCACTTCACTGCGTTCTTCAACCTCACCTAAATCTGGCATGCTTTCACCTACAATCTGGGGGTGAACTGAAGCCTGGGGTGGTCTGCTCACCCACACATTCCACCCACAAGCCTGGGTGTCTACGGCCCAGCGCTCAGAACCTTTTTTAGCACTGTTATCTCCCTCCTGACATGCTTCTCCCTTCCTCTCTGCCTATTTGAATCTGACCCCAGCCTGGCCAAGGCCTTCCCATGCTCTGAAGTCTCCAGCCAGCCTGGGATCCCAAGGGAAACACCAGAAGAGCACACAGGGCAGTGCCAGGCACCAGGGCCATTGGCAGGGACTCCTATTAGAGCAGAGATGGGCAAGGCTAGGAACCTTGCAAAGGGTAAGGAATCACTTCCCTATCTCCATCCCCTCCCAACCTCTCACCATCCCCCCCAGTCCCACAAGGCTCCATGCCCCAGAGGTAGTGGTTTTCTGACCCCCAAGCCAGCCGGGCTTCTCCAGGTACCCTCTCTGAGCTGCATGCACAGATCTCTGCCTCACCTATCCCGGTCCACTGCCAGCCATGGACCCTTTCCTGTGCCATCTGGGCTGGGGACCCACTCCCACCCTCTGCAAGCTCACAGACATGGGGGAGGGTGTCAGGGCTTCTGGGGCTGGACTGGCAGTGACTTCTTGAAGCCTGGGGAGGTCTGAGGTCAGCAGCAGGGTCACGTGCTGTAGGGGCATGGGGTATAGAGGGGACTGGCCCAGCCCTGGACCCAGTTGCTGTACGAGGCCAGCCTGGTGGACAGAGCAGAGGTTCTTTGTACTGAGCAAGCAGCCAGCGTGTTCTGGGTGTGAGGAGTTCTAGAGGAAAGGAGCTCTGTCCGGGCTGCTCCTACCTATGCCAGGCATAGGGCCAGCCCCGTTAAAGGATCAGGGAGCTTGGGAAGAATTTATGAGTGAAACTGTGATAGGCAGAGTAGGAGAAGGAGACATCCTATGCTATGGTGAAGACATGAATGAGCCCAGGTGTCCAGAGAGTGGCAGGAGGCAAGAGGTCCGTGCCGGGATTCAGGGGAGGTGACCCAGAGGGGCAGCATGGTGAGCCATGGAGCCCAAAGGGCCATGTTTAGATTCAACCTCATGGGCAATAGAAGTCATTTCAGGTTGAAGAGGGCAACACGGTGAATGCACCATCCTTGAAGAGCAGAAGGAAGGGGAATTTCCCCAGAGCTTCAACTGGGTTGCCTTTACCTTTAGATTCTCAGGGCATGGCCTAAAGCCTTGGAGTTGATCAGACTCCAGGAAAGCCCAAGCGGCCATGCAGAAGATAAGGAGTCATCCTGGCTCCATCAGGATCAAGAGGGGTCCTGAAAGTATGGTGCTCTCCAAGCCCTCATTCTATCCAGGAAGTGGGGAAAAGATGACCCAAGGATGGACTGGCTTGCTTGTCATTCTCCTTCCCAGAGGGGAAGGCTTGCTGTGACAGGGATTTGCAAGAGTTGGGAGGAAGGGGATGAGTGGGGACTGGAGACTCTCTTCCATGAGATTATATATGGACATCTCTCATGACCTGGAGCAATCACGTGGGCAGAGCAAGGAACAGCACAGGTGGCCTTAGCATCCTTGTGGCTAGCACATGTGGAAGAGGCCCAGGGGAGAGTCTTAGGGACTGCCCTACTCAAGGCTGACTGCACTGGGAGGGTGAAGTCGCCACATGCCCCAGTGAGGGTCAGGGTGAGGCCAAGAGCAGGGAGGAACAGACAGGACTTCATCGAGGCCCCCCTGGGTCCTTCACTGGACAAAAGGAGGGACAGGCGCCCATTGGCAACGTCGGACTGTGTATGGACTCAGCTTCCCATTGACTAGGGAAGGTACTGTTGTGCCTGCCTCCAGCCCACAGGCAGGACCTGGCTGGTGAACAGAGACCCTGAGCCTGAGGGTGTGGAAGTCTCACCTGCTCCCACACATTCCCCGGACTTCAGGAAAGCAGATTTCAGACGGCTATGAGAGATGATGGACATAATTTTTGACCTGAGGCTCTGGAAGAAGAGAAGTTTCCAGAACCAGGGACTCTGAAAGAGGGAATTCTGACTCAGCAGTAAGTGGGATCTCAGTAGGGAGGGGAAGGGCAGGAACAGAGAGGTATGTGTGCCTGAGCTTGGGCTGACTATAGGAAATAGGAGGGCCAGCACTCAGGACCAGGGCCTGCCCAAGTGCCTGCCTTGATGGGACAAGAGAGAGCAGGGAGGGTCCTGACTCTCATCTTGGAGGGCTCCTCAGCCCGCAGAAGGTTTCTCTCTGACAAATAGCCTCCTGGACAGGGACCTTGGATTTCAATACCTACAGCTAACAAGGGGGTTGAATGAATGAGAGAGGACTAATGGTAAACCAAGGGTGCAGCTTCTCAGCTCCAACTAATTCTTGCAGTGTGAGAATGTGAACCCAACATCACCAGATGGTATAAGTTAGGATTAGATTTGGTCACATATGACAGAAAACTCAAAATAATAGTGGTTTAAAGAAAACAGAGGTTTCTCTCTGTGTCGTATACCAGAAGTAAGCCGTCAGAGCTGATACATGGTGGCTAGGATGCTTCCATCACTGCAAGGCTGTGGCCCACATCCATAACATCCAAAATGGAAGCTAGAGGTCCAACCATCATACCAGTGTTCCAAGCAATAGAGAGAGGAAGGTGGGAAGAGGGGCAAAGAGCACATGCTAGTTATTTTTAAGGAAGTCCCTTGGAAGCTGTCATATAGTGTTTCTAAATTTTGTTGGCAGAATTTTGATTCCTAATTTCCTAACTGTAACGGAGGCTGGGCAATGCAGCTTTAGTTCTGGTTCTCCCCGTGCCAAGCTAAAACCAGAAACTCTGTGACTAAAGGGAGAATGGATATTGCCATATGCAGCTAGTAGTCTCTGCCCCATAGTGCCCCCCCTTGCCTCCAAACACCTGGCACCCCATCCTCTATGCATAGAATACTCTGGGGCTTGGGGTGAGGGGAGAGGTAACCCTGCACCTCATTGTGTTACAGCATCTAGCCCAAAAGTCTGGATAGAGGAGGTGGTGGAGGTGGAGGAGGCCCCCTGGGGGACAGCCCATCCGGTTGGCCCAGCTCTATTTGGGGAAGAAGCCTATGCCCAATGTCCCCCATGGAGAAATCAAGCTGCCTTGGTGATACGTCTCTCGCACAACTCAGTGACTTCTAGTCTCTTTGTCCTGATGAGTTTCCCCTGCCTGAAATGGCCCCAGTGGGCTCAGCTGGATATGGCTTTGGGGCAGGCAGCCGGGCCCTTCCATCTGCGCTCTGCATTGGAAAAACCGCTGAGGTGGCAGGGGGGCAGGGAGAGCAGCACCTTGACTCCCTTACTTCAGCTTTTCATGTGAAATTGACTGATTTTCAGATTTCAGCCTCTAATGTTTAAGAATTTTAGTTCGGGACAAACAAACATGCCTATGTGCCAGATGTGGCTCTCAAGGGCCACAGTGGGGGACGGTGTACACCACTGGATGGAGGAGTTGGAGCTCCTCCCCTGGCAAAGGGTGACCTGAGGGTCTGATGTCCATGGAGAAGGCCCCGTGTGAGCCCTCTTCATCCTGGCAGGCAGGCCCAGTGACCGCCCATCTGGGGGCAGATCTGGCCACAGCTAAAGAGGAAGTGGGACTCTTGCAGAGACCCTGAGAGTGGGCTGGCTGCTGGGATTAGCACGGAAGCTCAGGAGAGTCTAGCTGACTCCACGGCCCACCCATCGGAGTTGGGAAAGGAGTCAAGACCGGCTCAAGGGCTGGGTGTCCATGTGTGTGTCTGCCTGCCGCGTGTGGGGCTCTGCGGAGAGGACCTCAGGCCTGGGGTTTGGAGGGTAGGGGTTAAGGCCTTGTTTGCCTGGCCTGCAGACTCCACCAACCGGGACGCGCTGGATATGATTGAACGCTGCATCTGCCTCGTGTGCCTGGACGCCCCGGGAGGCGTGGAGCTCAGCGACACCAACAGGGCACTTCAGCTCCTTCACGGCGGAGGCTGCAGCAAGAATGGGGCAAACCGCTGGTATGACAAATCCCTGCAGGTAAGCCTCCCCAGTGGCATGGCCAGCGGCCTGAGCCAGCAGATGCTCACGCCTGGCAGGCTCACTTGCTGGCCTGTGCTGCCCAGGATGCTGCATCCAGGGCCAAGGGAGCTGAAGGCACTGGAAATGTACCACTGGTGTCAGCCCTTGTGCGGCCAGAACTCTTCTTGGGAGCAAGTGACCAAACCCTGCCCAAACTCCCAACCTTCCTACAGCCTGTGCCAGGCGTGTGGGATCTCCGGGTCAGACCTGGAGCTCACTCCCCTTCTCCTAGCACACACTGTAAGGTGGGGGCATCCCCGGGGCCCCACTGAACACAACCTCAATGCATTCAGCAAGAATCATGTCTGATGTCCAGGGATGCCAGCTTTTCTGAACCTCCATCACTCTCGCCTGGCCATTTTAACACACCTCCCTCCATCCCTGAGAGGTAGGACAGCCCAGCATCTCCACAGAAGGAAAGTCATACAATGAAATAAAGCAATTCCTATATTTTTGATTCACATGACATCAACCCAGAAACAAGACATTCACTTTGGCCTGGAGAGAAATACTCATGCAGGTGCGGATGAAGTTAGAGGTTGGGCCCATTCATTCCTGTTCCTCCAGCCTTTTCTCTCCAGTGTGTCAATCCTGAATTGAACCTTGTTTATTTTTAAAGCCTCCCCCACCCCTTCACAATGACCATATTAAATAGCCAACAATCGTTATGCTTTGGGCTAGCATCGCTCCCACTGATAAGCATTTCTGGGCAACATTTCATTTGTCTCCTTCTCTGGCCCCTATATTCTGCAGGTTATCCTTTTTATTGGTTTGCATATTGATTCTGCTATTTCTGATGGGTTCACTTGCTGCTGCACTGGCTGTTTTAGCCCCCGCCAGTGGTGCTAATGGCTTGTAATCTTTCATGGAGCAGCTGTGGGAATGAAATGATATAATGGATGTAGAGGACCAGAAACATAGGACGCCACGGTAGTGGTTTTAAAAAGGCACTGTTTTCCTCCCTTTTGTTTTAGTGGCAAGGACAGAAAAGCATGAATGTGCAAGTGGGCACAGTCTTCCCCTCCTGCCCCACAGAGGTGACTGAGCCCACCCGCAGGCTCTTTTCACAGGCAGGACAAAGGATCAGATGAGCTGGAGAAGCCAAACAAGCTCCAGGGACCTGAGCTGAACGATCAAGAGCTAGTCTCAGGACAGAGAAGCAGGGGACATTGGGGAAAAGAGAAAAGACTGCAAGGGATGAGTTTTGAGAAAGACTATGTGGAAAGGTTGTTTGGAGAATGGGAGCAGAGATTCGGGCCACTGACACTATGTGAGGGCCGGGGGGAGGACCGGAGGAGAGTCAGCTCACGTGTGTATCGAGCGTTACAGTGTCCCGGAAGGGCATCAGAAAACTGTCAATAGCTTGTTTGTTTGCTTGCTTGTTTATGGATGGTGGACTAGACTCTCTTGAGTGTGATGCTGTGCTGAGCCAGGCTATGGGCAGCCCCACTTTATCTGGGTTACACTTCAAAAGTCAAATCTCATTCTGCTCATTCTTTTCTCCCAGAACTTCTGTACATGCTGAGTATGTCTCTTTTTCAAGTCAGCTAAGTACACCCTTTACAAACTCCCTACAGTCCCTGTGGACCTTTCCCAAACCTCCTCTCTAATCCTCATAGCAATCTTGTGAACTGGGCTTTATTTATTAGATCCATTTTAAATGGGAGCAGACCGAAACCAGAGAGCTGAAATGTCCTGTCGATGGTCTCCCAGCTGGCATGAGGCCATGGCAGACCTGGAATCCGGGTCCCTGACTCGAAGCCCAGGCAGCAGTTCATGGAGCATCCTCAGAGACACCTTTCCTTCACTCCCATCAAGAGACAACTTCTTTCTCCCTAGGAATCTGCACACCATCCAAATCGGATCATTATCTTTCATTCACTCATTCAACAAAAGTATTGAGCGCCTACTATGCGGTAGACACAGGTCTAGATCCTGGGAACAAAATCAGTGGGGGCCAAACACACAGGGTCCATTTAGACACATACTCACACAAAGCTGTATAGGATTGTGGCCCCTGTGGCACACTGTGGGGGGGGGGGGGACACAGGCTTAATAGAAGCCAGCGGAACTTGCCCATGACCAAGGAAACTGCACAGCTTCAGTGTGAACTCTTAGGAATCACCGAGCTACTTCAGCCAGGGAAACTCAGGCTCCACTCTCACTGCCAGGAGCATTTCTGGGAAGGAGGTCACATAGTAGAGCTGTCCTGAGGCCCCCATATTCTCAGGCTGTGGTGATTTCATATAGCATTCTTTTTGGGACATAATGTGCTTTGGTGTCCTTGGAGGAGAGGTCCCCCCGAGAGGCCAGGGAGACCTGGCCTGGAGCCAAGGGGCCAGTTTGAAATACAGACCCTACCTGAGGTCTACTCACCTCTCTCCTTATTACAGTTTGTGGTGGGCCGAGATGGTACTTGTGGTGTGGTGTGCGAACACTCCCCGTTTGACGGCATCGTCCTGGTGCAGTGCACGGAGCATCTGCTCAAGCACATGTGAGTCTGGGCACAACACCCCTCTGTAGCAGCCATGGGAGCCAAAGCCAGACTGCCAAGGGGCTGCCAAGCTAGGCCAAGAAAAATTTGGGTGGCCACCGGGGGGCTGCGTTAGTCCGGAAAGTGTCTTAGCAAAAGATGGATTCGAAAATCAGCTTGACATCATCAGACACTTTATCTGCCACGGACAGTGGGCGCAGACAGGACTTCAGGTTTAGGGCAGTTAGGGAGAAGCTTGGCCAAGAATTCCTAGCCAAAAAGGAATATCTGCTTTGGCCCAGGGAAGTCCAGACCCATACCTAGTGCTTGTTCTGAGTCAGGGCTGGGCCGACTGTTGACCCAGCAGAGAGGAGGGGAGGTCTCTGAGCTGCACCTCCTTCCATCCCCTTGGGCTGGATCTCTCTCCCTAGCTTCCAAGCTGGCTGGACTGAGCGCTTTGCTATCCCTTAAACACACCAAGTTCCTTCCTCCATTCATGGCTTGCTCATTCTCTCTTTCCACAATCTTCTCCCTGAATCTAAGTTCTAAATGCCTAAAAGCCCATACCAACTCTCATAGACAAACAACACAGTTTGCTTCTTCAGTTTCTCTCCAAGTGTATGTGGAGTAGGAAATAGCAGGCTCTGGAGTCAGGCGGAACTGGTTGAAATCCTGGCTCTGCTACATGCTTATTTGGGTGGCCTCTCTGATTGAGCGTCAGTCAGTCTATTTATCTGTGCAGTGGATCCAGGGGTAGGCAGCTCACACCCCCTGAGGCTCCAACAGCTAGGATGACCGCAGAGGACAGGGACTGATGTCCACAGCCTTCAGCTCCCAGGGCCGCAGGCTGCCACCTTTTTGTGCCTGCAGGGTGAAGAGCAGCAAGAAGCTGGTCCGGGCCGACTCAGTCAGCGAGCTCCCGGCCCCCAGGAGGCTGCGTTGGAAATGCTCCCCGGAAATTCAAGGCCTCTTAGCTTCCTCGGTGGAAAAACTTCAACGGTAGAAAGTCCAAGCCTTTTTAAGGGCAATGCTCTGGGGTCACCCCGTGCCTACCCTCACCCCAACCCCCTCCATCCGGGACGATGAGGCCCCCTGGAAGTTTTCAAAGACCCCAGCTCTCTGCTCCTTTCGCCCACCTCTGCCCCTTGCCCACCTCCCCATGGAAATGTAGTCAAACTAAAAGAGAGTTATAACTCTTGGGGAAATAACCTTGCTGAAGTCTCCATCATTTCCATAAAATGCAAACATGGAGCTATTTTTTCAAGGGTTTCACCTGACTGAGCTGAGTCAAGGAGGGGAAATCATCCCCCTGCTTTCAGGGGGAGTAATAAACAACTGGTTTGAATAGGTCATTTGAATCCAAGCTATTTCAATTTGCTTGAATTTACACTACAATGTGACAAGGGGACCTTTCTCCCCAAGGGAAGAGAGGCAGTTCAGTCCCTAATGGGACCCATGCGGGAGGGCCGGGATGGGTATGGATGGGTGTGGGCCTCTGGGGGGGGGCTGCACTGGCACAGTGCCAAGTTGTGGAGGGAGCTGCAGGCTGGCAACTAGATCTGGCCGTTGGTTGTTCATTCCCTCATTCGGGAAGCGAGCATCATTCATTCATTCATTCATTCATTCATCAAACATGTGAATGCGCTAGGACTGTGGAAAGGCTAGGGACACAGAAATGAATATGCCACGGAGCCTGCTGTCCACACTTCAGTGGAGGAGGTAGACCCCCAGACCAAAACATGTGTGACACAGGTGCCCAAACCAGAGAAGGGCATACAGGCCTGAACCCACAAGAGGACGCAGCAGTGGAATTCTACCAGGACATTGTGGGAGGGCTTTGCAAAACAGGCCTTGAAGGATGGATAGGAGTTTGTGGTGCAGGCAGCTAGAGAAGAGGCAGAAAGGCAGCTTGTTCAAGCTTGTACAGAGAAGGTTCATAGAAGATGCAGGGTGGATTGGAAACCAGCAAGTGAGAGAATGGCCAGAACTGAGGCACTAAAGGGAAGTTGAGGCCACATTGTGAAGAGCTTTGCTGTTCTTGTGTTATGGGGGCTGGACGCTGTCTTGCAGTGGGGAGAAGCCCCTGGAGGGTTTGGTGCAGGGGTTTTCAGGGAGCCAGTGAGGAGACTGTGGGAAGAGCATGGTGAGCAGGACAGATCATGGCCAGGCTCAGAGGGTAGGGAGGACCAGTCCATGGCAAGCTGCTGTGGGGGCTGACTGGCTGATGTGGGAGAGTAGGGGAGGCCTCGGGTATTCATCTACAAATGGTGCTGATATCTCAACCATACGGGGCTGTTCTTGGGATGAGCAGGCCTCTAGGAGAGTGAGTTGGTGGGCTGGCATCCTTGGGTGGAGAAAGGCGCCCACTCATTTTCAGAGATCGGAGTGGGGCCCCCGAGGTTCTCTTCCCAGAGGTGGGGAGCCAGGAGAGGCCTGAGGGTGGGAAAACAGGAGGAGCCTCGGGGGTTCCGAGCTGCCTGTGGAAGGAGGCAGGGTCTGAGTGGGCAGGGCTCGAGCAAGGGGTTTCCGGGTGGCCATGTGACCATGAGCTCAGCCTGTCCAGAGACAGTTGGCCAACAGGCTGGACTGTGGGGGGAGTCTCCCTGGGTCCCGAGAACCTGGCACGGACGCACTGAGAGCTGAACAGGCAGAGAGCATCTGAGTCCTGTGGAAGGGCGTGAGTGGAGGGTTGAGGTTGCCTACCCAGGGCTCTGCATTCACATACAGCCAGTGGACAGATGATGTGGACCCTGCCAAACTTTGCTCCAGTGGACAACCAGCCCAGACCCCAAACTCACTATGAAGGAGGAGACTGGTCAATATTGGTAGGGGGAGACAAGTGCTCAAGGGTCTCAGTATAGACTCAGGGTATCTACCTGTTACTCTGACAGTGACTTATGCGCTCAGCAGTTGTTTCTGGGTAAAATGGGTTTACAGTCACCAGCAAAGCCCAGACGAGCAGCCCTCACTGTGGCGACCATGACCACCAGGGAGGCCCCAGGCATTTCTTCTCATAGTAAAACAGGGAGGAGTCTCTGTGAAGAGATAATGGCTTACAGCCATCTGAGAAATGGGCCTTTCCTTGGGCAAAGGCTATGTGCCAGGTCTGGCAGAATGGCCAGGATGCCAGAAGAATCTGAGGATGTGGGACACACATTCCCAAACAGGTCAGATGAATGGCTTCTTTCAGGCCCACTTCCGTGGGCAACAGGTTTCTGGGATTTTGTTTGTGGGCAGTGTTCTCCCTACACATGCAAATGAATCTCAGGCCCTGTGCCCCTATGCCCCTCCCTGCAGCTGGGCCCCCTCCCCCATCACCAGAATGGGGCCACCGCCCTGCCCGGCCAAGCCTCCTCTTCAGCTCAGAGGAGCTGATCTGGCATGCCCTCTGCCACTTATGTCAAGGCCTGTCTCTGACACCCAATATGTTCCCAGTGGGTAAGGACCATGTCCTCCCCTTCCAGAGCACCGGGTCGTAGACCAAGCTTGAGCAACTTGGTTAGAACTTGTGGTGCGCGCATTCTATTTTGCATGCAATAACGCCTCTTCTTTTTCTTCCACAGAATAGTAAAGAATCTCGACTTCACTGTTTATAAGTTTGACGTCTTTGGGAAAACATTCATTAAGAAGCAGAAATGCAGTCCTGATGCCTTCATCCAGGTGGCCCTCCAGCTGGCCTTCTACAGGTAAGCCAAGCCTGCCAGCCGAACGACTCTGCCCAGGTGGGCTGCCCAACAAGCTGCTCTAGACTCCAGAGTCTAGAAGCATCCTGGAGGGAGGAATGACTTTCTGTGGACTTAAAAGATGGGAAGAGCAGGGCAGGCTGCATGGAAAGAGGTACTGCTTGAACTGGGATTCAAAGTGTGAATCCAATCTCAGAAAAGAGAGGGAAGGACATCACAGTTAGGAAGCTGCCTGAGAGGCGGCCCAGGGGCTACTTCTCCTTCTGCCCTCAGCCAGGCCACATGGGCCCCTCTAGCTGTGCTCTGTTCCTTGATAAGGACGTGGAACCACCATCCCCTCCTCCATGGGTCAAGTCAAAGAATGTGAACTCATCCTTGATTCATCCCTGTCTCTCCTCTCCCACCTGTGACACCCCCATGTGCGTCCTCCAGATGTCTCTCAGACCTACCCTCTGTCTTCCCATCTCCATGGCCACTGGCCCCTCCCCGGTCATCTCGGGCTTGCTTAGCCACAGCATGCTCCCCAAGGGCTCTGCTCCCACTCCCATCTTCATGAATCGTAAACCTTGAAATATGCAAATCAGCTTCTATCACTTTCCATCTTGAACCCTCCCAATGGCTTCCCACCATGTTTAGAACAAAGTCCAGGCATAGAAAGCCTCCTTGTGAACTAGCCTCTGCTGGGGCCTTCCTCCCAAGCTCTCTCCCGCCTCCAGCCCTTTACTCAGGCTGTGTCTCGGCGCCCCCCGCTGCTGCCACCACCACTCTTCACACACCAGCTCCTCCGGCCCAAGTGTCAGCCCTCACAGGCCTTCCCCGCCCCCTTACCTAAAGCAGCCACTCTGGGCCCCCTCGCCACCCAGCTTTCCAACCTGTCACATTGTGTTCTCTTTTTCTCATGGCAGTCATTATTCACGTGAGCTACCTTGTTCATTGATTTGTCGATTTTGTCTTCTAGACTGTCTCTCCCAACCCTGACACTCTGGGTATCTCACACACCCGGCACAGAGTAGGCATCAGGGATTGAGTCACAGACGTGAGAAGACACTATGGGAGTGTTATCTGGGGGTGGCACAGTCAGGTCTGTGGTATAGAAAAATATCGTGGTAGCTCTGTGTTGGGCGAGGAGAGAAAGTAGCGAGTAAGGGTTGAAGACAGGGCAGGGAGGCCAACTGGTCTTTTATAGGAGGCTAAAACTAAAATGCAAAGTAGATCATCCTCAAGATAAGGCTGGCTCCTGTTGGTTCTAGTGTTCCTGAAGCAATAGCTCATCAACTGGCACAGGACCCCACCAGGACCTGCTTTTACTTTGCAATATATGGGGGGAACATAAAGTGACCTCGCAATAAGGCCAGGGGAGGGAGGTCTCACTAACAAGCAGACAGCACCCATGTGGACACAGCATCCCAGATCCCAGTGTCCTCCCAAGGGGCCATGACTCACAGGGAAAGGAAGTGGCTTTGGCCACTCTGAGCACTGGGACTCCTTGGGGAAGGCTGACGTCACCCCACGTGAGGTCTGTGCTCATCATGGGGACACATCGAGCCACGGCAGGACCTGGTGTCTGGAACCGCTGTCGTCATTCTGATACTGGCATGTAGCGGAGATGGGCCATGAGGTCAGGGTCCTCCAGGGGTTACTTCAGAGAGCATTTCAATTCGAGAGCTAGGAGAGGCTAGCAGACCCTGCACAGAGCACAGCCGCCTCTACCCTCAAATAATCTCTGTGGCACTGGACGTGGCCAGCAGTGGACATGGCCAGAGGCTCCTGGGCTCAACAAACAGCCAAAATAGGATCTGCCTCTAGATTCAGCGGAAGCCTGGAAGCTGCCTAGATTGGGGTTGATCAGTGACTAGCCAGTGATGGCATCTACTTTTGTGCTGGGCATGGCGTTTGCCTCCAGGGGCCATAGGGATGACAGGAAACGAGCTCCCTGCCAGAGTCCTTCCTCCCTGGGGAAATGAGACAGAAGTGTCCAGAAAGTTTATTCACCTTCTCGCCAAGTTACAGCGCCAAGCACTGTGCTGACTCTGACCCGGCTTTCCTCCTAGCACTCCCCCAGCACGGGAAATATGTGCCCTGACAGGCCAACATGCAGGACCGTGACTTGTGCGCGACGTTGTGCAGTCACGGCCCCTCTGTGATTCTGTGTCTTCCTCCTCCCCACCCCCAACATGAAAGACTTTGCTGATGGGTGAGAAAGATGTGTGCCAGCCAGGTGTGCAAGTCTTGGAGGGCTCACTTGGTTCGCGTGCCTAAGGAAAGGACTTTCCCTGGCTGGGGTGGGGAGCGGCTCCTGTCACAGACCTCAGGGAGGAGAGGCACAGCCATGGCGCCCATGGGTCTGTTGGAAGCTCCGCTGCCCCCGGACAGGCGGGCCTGTGCCGCAGCTTCCACTCATGACCACGAAAGCCCCCTCCCTGCCTAGATCCATAGGTCGCGCTTGAATTGTTCTAAATAAAATAGGATTCCCTCAAGGGTATGAATGATTAATTACACCATTATTCCATTCTGTGCTATTAATCAAACACTCATCAGGTCTCGAAGAAAATTCTAGGTTTCCCACCAGACTGGGATTTTTTGAAAAGTTACCCGTCACTTCATTATTTTATATCCACACAGTGTCACCAGCGGATGAACGCATACACAGCTCTTCCTATTAGCGACTCCCCGACACTCATCTTTGGGAAATCTCCTCTAGAATTCTATTAACATTAAAATGAAATACTAACCAAGTCAAGCCAGGACTGTAAAAATAAAGCCCGCAGAGGCTATTTTTCTTTCAGTGTTTCTGGTTTCCTGAGACTGCAATGCCATTTGCCATTCATCTTCCATCTTCTGCAGGCTCCACGGGACACTCGTGCCCACCTACGAGAGTGCGTCCATTCGCCGGTTCCAGGAGGGCCGTGTAGACAACATTCGATCAGCGACTCCAGAGGCACTGAGTTTTGTCAAAGCCATCACTGACCACGAGGCTGCTGTGCCGGTAAGTCTTGCTCTGCCTGAGGAGTCTCCAGGAGGCCAGCGAGGCAGCTATGGGCTGCCTGTCAGCTGGGCTCTGGGACAGCCAGCTCCTTTAGCTTGTTTGTCACTGAGTAGCCCTTTAGAGCCCCATCTCTGGTCTGTTGACAGGAGTCAGAGAAGTTGCTGCTCCTGAAGGATGCCGTCCGAGCCCAGACTGAGTACACAGTCATGGTGAGTGATGTGGTGCCTCTTCTCAGGTGAACTCATGACGGTGGGCTCTGCCCAAAGCTGGGCCTGCCAGCACAGGGCCACAACCAGAACCTGGGTGAGAGCTGGGCCACCGAGCACCCAGTGACTTGGTGAAAGCCATGCCTCTCAGAGCCTTTTTCTTATTTTTAGAACCCGGGTAACACAGCACTCATTTTCACATGGATTTTTACAAGAATACCATGGATGGTCTTTGAAAAAACAATAATGATAATAATAACACCAAACACATATAGCACTTTACAGTTCATACAACAAGAAAAGTCTAATGTGAGGGATGGCAGCCAAGCCTGGCAAACCGTGGTGGTTCACACACCTTGCATGACTGCAGGTGAGGCAGAATTTATTCCCACCTATGGTTGAATTTGCTTTCTTATTTTCTGTCTATTTATGTTGCCTATGAATTAAAAAAAGTCTGCTGAAAATTAATAGTGAAATCAAAATTTTATTTATTTTTACTTTTTTTTTTTTAGAGAGAGAAAACAGGGGAGGAGGGGCAGAGGGAGAGGGAGACAGAGAATCTTAAGCAGGCTCCATGCCCAGCGTGGAGCCCTGCGCAGGGCTTGATCTCACGACCCTGAGATTATGACCAAAGCTGAAATCAAGAGTCAGGCGCTTAACCCACTGAGCCACCCAGGTGCCCCAAAATCAAAAGTTTAAAGGAAATGTTCTCTTAGTTTAATAGTTTATTTTCTAGCATGGCAGAGCCATGATTTGCATACAAATAACAGAGAAGAAGCTACTACTTGGACTGGTGATCAATATATCAATTGAAAATGATTCTGATACAGTATTTGAAGGAGCATATAACCTGTGAAGAGGGGTTGACCAAATTTCACTCCATATAGTTGGAAGCAAGTACAATGCATATCTGTGTTTTAGAACTAGCCAATGTAGACTTCTTTCCAATTCAGTTGCCAGGTCCTGAATTCATCTGAAGAGTTAAGCTTTCATTCTGTTTGGGGAAAATCAAGCTCACTCTCACATATTGAGTGGGTATTTTTGGTTTTCCTGCTTAATGCCAGACAAGGTGCTGGGTGGTAGGAAATAAAAGATAAAGTCCATAAGCCCTGTCCTTAGGGAGTTTACTGAGTAGCTGGGAGGAAAAGCCCTTAAATGGTAAATCTCACCCCAGGTGAAAAGAGTCCTCAGGAAGTAGGAGAGAGCATGGACGGGCAAGCTAGTTCCTCTGCTTGGGAAAGCCAGGAAGACTTCCCAGAAGAAGTGGTGCTTGATATGAGACTTGAAGGATGAAGAGGTGCTTATCAGGTGGACATAGAAGGGAAGAATGGTCCCAGAAGGGAAGAGTGTGTGCAAAGGCAGATAATCTTGAGAGAATAAGCCACACTGGAGGAAAAGCTAGTAGTTCGTGTGTGCAGCTTGCAAAGGACAGAGGAGCAGGGGAGCTTATGAGATGGGATTTTTCAGTCACAAAGTTTACTCTGGTGACCAGGTAGAAGAAGGACTGGTTGGAGCAAGGGTGGTCTGCCAACACTCAGTGACGCTAATTAGGAATCTATATAATATTTAGGTAGAGCTGAGATAAGGACTGAAATAGAGCAGGAGCAGGGGATTCAAGAGGTAGACACCAACTTCTGTTTAAACATGGTGGACACCAGGATTTACTGTCACTCCCTCTGAAATCCTCAAAAATATCAGCAAAGGGGTTTTTTTAAGCCATGAATACACTAGGCAAAGAGAGTGGGAAAGGAAGGGACAGCAAAGTTTTTGAGTTGGAAAATAGAACAGATGGCCAGTGACCTAGCAAACCAGAGGAAGCTGAAACCCAAGCAAAGAGTAAGGGAGACCCAGGAGCCCAATGAATTGTTCTGCAGAACCTTAGAATGGCTCAGGCATTGGAGGCACCCACCAAAAGTACAGGTGTGTGCAGGGCTGAAAAGAAGAGGATGGCTTGATGATCTCTATAAGAAGCAGTCAGACCCTCAGTTCCTTTCCATTACCCCGCGCAGCTAGGCAACTACCCTCCCCTTTCTCAATGGTAGGCTAGAGGACTCTAGATTTGGGGACACCAGGTAAAGCTCAGGGAAGGTTAACCAAATTAAACAGGGTGATTAATCAAAGTCTACCTACTCAGCTCCAGGTACATTGGGAAGTACTTTTATTACCACCTCTCTCCAAGCATGAGATTAGAGGATTTCTCTGTGGTGAGACTGACCAGGCCAAGCGAACAAAATCACAGACACTGATAGCTGGGGTGCCCAATGAAATAGCCCAGCCAGCTCACCTCCCAGTGAAGTCTAGCAGATGGTAAGCACAGGCTTACACATGTATCTTCTAATCACTTTTTTCAGTGCTTTATTCTGAAATATAAACAGGTAGCCATTAATCATCAGACATTGAGGAAAGTTGCTAACATAAGACACAAAAACCAGTACAAATGTTTTTGTGTAATTTTTAAATTTTTGCTTAATTTTTTAAAATAATTTAAGAGAAAATTCAAGGAAATGAAAACAATGCAGGAAGCAGGAGAACATTTTTTAAAACTGTAATTGAAATCCTCTGAATGATAATGAACTTATTACATCCATTAATAAGAATATGAAACTAAAAAAAAATCTTTTTGGTGGGGCAATAAAAATAATTCTGGGGAAAAATATGGTAGAAAAAATGCAATGGGGGGATTGGGAGATAAAGCTGAAATAATCTTCCCAAAATGTCAACAAAACAAAGAAATGAAATACTGGACAGAAAAAAAGGGCTCAGTATGGGAGAACCAAAATCCCAAGTAATACATGTCCAGAAAGAGAAAATGGGGGTGGAGGGGAACAACAACAAAATAATTGAGGAAAATTCCTCAGAGTTGAAGGACATGAGCTTTCACATTGAGAGAGCCCAGCATGTACCTTGTGTAATAGAGGAAAACATTCATACCAAGGAAATTTCACAACACAAAGGTCAAAGAGAAGATTCTAAAATCTCTCAGAGAGAAAAAAAAAAACAAGTACAAAGATCAGGAATAAAAGTGTAATTGGACTTCTCAACAACATCACTGGAAGGTGGAAGATAATGGAGCAATGCCTTCAAATTCTGAGGGAAAATGATTTGTAATGTATATTCCATATCCAGCTAAGCTATCATCAACTTTGAAGACAGAAGAAAGACGTTTTCAGACAGACAAGTTCTCAAAAGTTTTACTTATTAAGCTTTCTTTCTTGTCAAACTATTGGAGGATATAGACTACTAAAGTAAGAGCTAAAACATAAAAGACATTGTGTGCTCCAAAATCAGAAGATTCAACACAAAAGAGAAAGAGGGTGACAGTAAAAGGAGATCCCAAGTTGACAACTGTTCAGCAGACACAGGAACAATCAGTCCACAGAGAAGCAAGAAGAGGGGGCACCTGGGTGGCTCTGGCGGTTAAGGGTCTGCCTTCAGCTCAGGTCATGATCCCAAAGTCCTGGGATCGAGTCCCACACTGGGCTCCTTGCTCAGCAGGGAGGCTGCTTCTCCCTCTGCCTGCCACTCCCCCTGCTTGTGCTCTCTCTCTCTCTCTGTCAAATAAATAAATAAAATCTTAAAAAAAAATGGAGAAGCAAGAAGTGAGAGGTGGAATGAAATTGACAAATTATCTGATTTGAGTGTATTAAGAAAAGTTTTACACTTCTGGCTGAGAGTTTAAGAGTCAATTAGTTATAGATACATAGAAAGCTAAGCAAGCGGGGAAAATCATAATTTAGTCATTTAAAAATCATCCCAATTCCAAGGAAAACAAAAGGTGAACAAGAAAGGAAATCTCATAATGCAGCCCGAGACTCAGCTGTGAATACTTACATAATTATAATCATGTCAACACTGAATAGTGATCAAACAATGAAGAGTTAAACATAACTCTAATGAGAGGATGGGAGAATGGAAGAATATTTGGGGAGCAGGAGTATGAAAGAGCCAAAGTTTCATCTTCTATAGCAAGAAGATATAGATAAAGCTGAAAAATGTAGTGAACGCAGTCTAAGACTGTTACTTAGAACTAAGACAATTAAATAGCTAAATTGATTGCCTCTGTGGTGTGGGAATCAGACCTGGCAGAGTGACAGATGTCTTTAGCTTCTTCGGGGTTTTAAGCTATATAAATATATGACTTTGGTAATAATTTAAATGTTTATAAAAGATTTAGAAAAATATCCTCTAAAGCATTGCCTTAGGGTCCAGCTGTGTTAACTATTCTAAGTTGATGAGAACAGCTAAATAAAAGAGATGGGGGTGAGAAGGAGAGAGCTATAAAAATGCTCTGAGGTGAATCCAGTGCCTGGTTGGCTGTGGGGGATCAGGACCAGGGGAAAGAAGCAAGGAGAGCTCCAGCCTCTGGCAGCTGTATTTGGTCACAGTAGTGGAGAAGGGACATCCCAGGGAAGGAGCAAGCGTGGTCCAGACACTCCCGCCCAGATTCTTACAACATCTTAGGCTTTTCCTTCACAGCACGCACACCCCCAGCGCCCAGCAGCATTGGGCACACAGTGGGCACTCAAGTAAGCTTCCCTGAATGAATGACTCAACAATGAATCATTTTGCTCATGACTACTCGTGGCCTTAATCCAAACAATCCGTTAAATCAACCCCAGTTGCTACAGTGAGCTGGAGGTGGTGAAGACTGTTGGGTAGCTGCTGCATAGAGCAGCTAACCGCTTCTACAGATCTACACAAATCAGCGATTAAACAGAGGTAACCAGAGAACCTAGCAGCCCACCCACTTCATCGATGGGCTCAGAGTCCTTCCCCTCTGTCCTAATGGGTCACATCTAAAGTGAACTGCGGTTATAGAACATGTCTTTCCAGGCTATAATTAGGAGCATCTGAAGAGACTGGGGCCTCTGAATCTTCTTTATGCATTCATTCTCCACTGAAAAAGAACGCTGTCAAATCCCAAAACGTGCCTTGTAAACTTGAACAAAATCCATTGTGATGGAGGTTTCCTCCTCTGTGGGGCTAATCCATTGTGATGGAGGTTTCCTCCTATGTGGGGCTTTGACAGCTAAGCGGCCATCTTACATAAGCGTGAACCTCCCAAGATTTACAATTACCCTGATGGGGACCCACAGGTTACTCCTATAGGCCGGAGGTGGCCCCCAAGTCTCCACCACTCCCAGAATTGCCCCAAATGAACGTGTAATCCAAGCAAAACCAGTGTGTGTGTTACACACGCAGCCTCAAGTGGGGAGGAGATGAAATGTGTACCCTGGCCCCTCCGCCCCACTTCCAGCCATACTGCCTCTGAGTTCTGCCTACATAGACAACCTGGAGTCCCCACTGCTCTTATCTTAGCCTTTGATAAGAGTTCAAGTATCTTGCAATAAAAAGAAAAAAATCTTTCTTCATTGAACAAGCTTTCCCCTTGTAAACATCAGCTGAGCCTCTGCTAAGATGTCTAGTTCCTGTCTCAGAATGATTTCTTAGGTTGTAAATCCAGTTTATATGAAATGATCCTGAGCCCATGAAATAGCAATCAAGATTTAGGAACAGACCCTAATGTTCTCTATCCCTCATTCCTTGGACTCCTGCTGGAGGATGAAGTGTTGGTTGTGGTGAAAGTCTGCCCCCTGATAGCCTGGGACACCCTTCCCCATGCCCTGACAGGGTCCAGCACCCATCCCTGCCCCCCAGACTCCTCCTCTACCTAAGAAAGTACTAGGGATGCCTAGCCCACCCCTCCCACTTAGAGGGGTCATACACAGTGTGTCGGCAATGACCATGCTGGGGTTGAGAGGCAGGAGATACTCAGCCTCATAGACCTTTAACGCGGGCATGCTCACTTTAGTCCATGCTCTGGACTTGCCCTTTGCACGTAGAAAGGGTCCGTGGAACACAGGCTGAGTGGTAGAGTGGTCAGTCCTGGGCGGCCACCCACACACGTTGTCCGCAGCAAGCACCAGGTAAGCGCAAGCTGGGGCCCTTGCAATGGCCATCAGCATTGCGGGCTAGAGAAGGGGGTAGGGCACGGGAGCCCCTGTCTCATCTCCTGTTCTTTGTCCCCAACTATCCAGGCCATAACAGGGATGGCCATTGACAACCACTTGCTGGCGCTGCGGGAGCTGGCCCGGGACACATGCAAGGAGCTGCCCGAGATGTTTACAGATGAAACGTACCTGATGAGCAACCGGTTCATCCTCTCAACCAGCCAGGTACCGTGCGGCTGTCACCCAAGGGGCCACTTAGTGTAACCAGTGGGCTTTCTAAAAGGCTACTTAGCGTAGACCAGTGACTACAGCCCACTGGCTGGAGTCAGGCAAGTCCCAGAGGTGCTCCTTACCAGCTGCATGTCCTTTGGCAAAATGACCTGAATGCTCTGAGTGCTGGTCCCCCCCCACCCCCCCACCCCCCGTCTAAATGGGTGTACTCGTGAACGCCACCCTAGCGGAGGAGGACTGGATGGGAACTGGTGCTCTAGCCACTATGCTTACCACCTTTCAATCTGTTACCTGCGGGGCGGCGTTCCACTGTGCCAGCCACAGGCTCTGAAGCCTGACAGGTCTAGAGTGAAGTCCTGGCTCAGCGAGAAGGGACAATTTGGGTAGAAAGCCTAGCTCAGTGCCTGGCATGGACCGGGCCCTCCAAACAGGTCACGGCCAATATTGTGAAGGGCTGCACGACCAACGGCAGGCGATCAGCGGCCAGCCCAGCATCCCCTAAAAGCCTGTTCTGTTGGAGGACCTCTGTGATAAAGACAGAATGAAATCCACTCGAGGGGCGCCTGGGTGGCTCAGTCATTAAGCGTCTGCCTTCAGCTCAGGTCATGATCCCAGAGTCCTGGGATCGAGCCCCACATCGGGCTCCCTGCTCGGTGGGAAGCCTGCTTCTCCCTCTCCCATGCCCCCTGCTCGTGTTCCCTTTCTCACCGTGCCTCTCTCTGTCAAACAAATAAATCAAATCCTAAAAAAAAAAAAAAAAAGAAAAGAAAAGAAAAGAAAAGAAATCCATTCGAGAAGTGCAGTGGCTTAGGAAAGAAAAGAACCCCCCAAACGTCAGTTGACTAAAACTCTGCCTCATCTGCTAAGGGCTGGACGTGGGCAATGAGAGGGGCTGATCAAGTTGTGTTTGAGAATAAAAGCCCACTCAGTAATTTGATGTTGTCATTACAGCAGTGAGTGCACAGACGGAAGTAAACGAGGGCAGGGCACAACAACATAAATTCTTCAGGAAACCATCCATGGGCAAAAAGTGCTTTGGAACGGTTTTACGGCCTTCAGCTGTTGCACAGCAAATTTATCTGACAATGAGGTGACTCTATTAACAAGACTAATGGTTTGTTCTGCCCCATTAAAACAGCCAGTGTCATTTCTGAAGGCCTGACTACACAGCGCCCGAAACCTTGGGTTTAAAAACAAACCCCACCCTGCAACTACCCAAGAATGTGTTCTATTTTTCCCCTGAAGACCAGCTAAGAAAGTGAATTTGGGGGTGTGGTGGTTTGGTGTTTTCTCTTTCTCCCAACTGGAAATCAACATTTATGGCTTGAATGCCTTCAGAGACACATTTTCCTGATTTGTGACTCTGATTACAAAATCTCAGCACTCTGAATTCAAAATGTATTAGGTGCATAAGGAAAACTCCAGTTGATGGCAATCTTTGAAATGCCCAATGCTGGGTAATTGTGCATGGCCGGGTTGTGGGGAGAAAATCAGACCAGCCAAGCAATCCTGACAGTAATTAAGGATGTGGGGAAAATTGACAGAGAAGACAGGCCAGATTTCCTTCTGTTCATAAATTACTCCCTCTGGGAAGCCATCTAACTGTGGGGTGCCACCAGGGTACCATTCAGTAAATTACCCCTATTGCCTCAGTGCCTCAAACAGCCCCCAGGTGAAGGAGATGCTCAGCCTGAGACCCAGCACAGGTCACTCTGGGGGATTTTGACTCCACAAGTAGAGCAGATTTCCCACCAGGGAGTGGCTTATGGACTCTCTTCTTTGGATATCATTGCAGTTAGGTGGGTTTGTCTTTCTGACTCTGGCTGTGGCCATCCATGCTGAAGCTATTGGTTCATTTGGTTAATTCAGTCAGACACCCAGGTGGAAAATAGAGAAGTAAATATCCTCTCGAGGCCTCGGGGTTGTTGAAACGCCCTGTATTCTAGCAAGTCCACAGGCTTACTTTTCAGAACCAGCAGCTTCTGACCTGCCCTCTCCTCCAGGTGCCCACAACCATGGAGATGTTTTGCTGCTATGGTCCTGTGGTACCTGACGGGTACGGGGTCTGCTACAACCCCCAGCCAGAGAGCATCCTTTTCTGCATCTCCAGCTTTCATGGCTGCAAAGAAACCTCTTCTACCAAGTTTGCAAAAGCAGTGGAAGAAAGCCTCACTGAAATGAGGGGCCTCTGCAGTCCACCACAGTCTACAGTGGGCAAGCCACTGGCAACAAAAGAAAAAGCAACAAGGCCCATCGAGGGACACCAACCTTGACTTCTGCCACTAGGTTCCACGTCCCCAAACCCAGCATTCTGCTGCCGCCAGACCCTGCCGAACCCCTACCCCCAACCCCCTCCCTAGCTTTCGGTAGCTCCTGTCCTCAGGGCCCAACCCAGAGACCACACGGAGGCATCACGCAAAGCAGGAGCGTGAGGAGGAAAGTGTCCCTCATTAGGCATGGGGATTGTCCTTATTTGCCAAACTGCCCTCTGGCCTGTGTACTGGGAAGTAAGCCAGGCCTGGCTCTGAGGTAGCCTTGGGGAGGTGGGCAAGTCTACACCACCTTCCCTCCATGGCCTCAGAAGCTTAATGGGGGTGTTTGCTTCTCTAGCAGGACCTAGTGTGTCCAGGTAATGTTTTGCCCAACAAAAGAATGAGTCACCCTATTACATGCAGTGTACCTACATGAATCACAAAGAAAGAGGCTAACCCCAGGTCAATACCTCTTTTCTTTGGGGGAGGAGTAGGGGGCATTGCTTTCAGATTTGAAGCAGTGTCATCATGACATTCAGAATGACCTGCACTGAGCTGTACAGGGCTGCAAACACCCCGTCCCCTCCACAGACACAGACACACACACACAGAGTTAATTTAAAATACAGTGCCCCAGGCCCCAAAACACATTTCTCCTTTCATCTCCCAGGGGCAGCCTTCCATTGAGTTGGGGAAAATCTGGTCCTGCTCTTCTGAGAGGGGGGAAAAAGAATCATCCACCATTGTGTGGGCATCGTGTTGCTCGGCCTCCCCGGGGGCATCAGCAACAGTCCAGGATGAGTAAACAGCACGATGCCCGCCAAGCAGCAGGGATGGGGAGGGAGGACCAGTCCACTTCCCCAAGAATCCTGCCACTAGCATTTTTTCTGGTTGCTTCCCCACTCCCCTTCACGGGAATCATACCCCTTATAGGTGATCTGCCTTCTAGAGGAGAAGAGAGAGGGTTGCTTTGGGGATTTTCTGTCATTGCTTATTTGTTTTGTTTTATTCATTCTTAAGAGAGGCTTCTAAGAAAACCACTGTGACATTAATTTCAGAAAATGATCTCAGTGGCCCAAGCAGGACACCTGCAGATAGCAGGTGGAAGATGTTATCTAGGGATTCTAACTAAACCCCATGTGGACAAGTGCAGAGCAGGGCTCTCCCTGGCCTGGCAGGGGGGAGGGGGGAGCAGGCTTGAGGAGACAGCTGGTGGGGAGCAGGGCCAGGAGGAGGGAATAGCTATGTCCAGAGTCAGCCCTATTGGAGGGGCAGGCCGTGCACAGAGCCAAAGTTAAGTTTGTCCTGAGAGATTGTGATCATCAAGGAGATATGAAAAGCACTTCCCATTGGGGAATATTTTTATGGTAAATCTCAAAAGGCAAAGGAGTGGGAAAGCAACCAGAAAATCAAAACTGCAAATAGCTGAGGCAGCCTGTCTCTGTCCAGAGGAGGTACAGAGCTTGACTCTCGCCACTGAGTTCTGCTGTGCAACCTGCAGGGGAGTTCTGACAAAGCCCCCTCGCCCCACTCGCACTGCACTCTGGCCCAGGGACCCTGCACAAGTCCCTCTGGGCCACTGTGCAAGCTTTCTGCACTTTGACCTCTATTGAAGGCAGGGCTGAGATGGGGGCAGCTGGCATTATGACCTTTGCTCAGTTCTTTGAAAACACAAACAGGCCCAAGCAGTAAATTCCTTGAGCCCTGGTTTTAGATTGAGGGTTTCTGTTGGATGCTCTGGGAGATTCTGACACTGCCCTTCAAAATCATTGGTCTCTACGTCCATACTCCTTCCACAGATGTCCTCCTTCCAGCCCCCTTGGGAAGTTGCAGCCCAGGAGTCTTGGGAATATCTGGGGAACTACTGTCCCCCTGCTGTAAGTTGACCCAAAGCCAATTGTCTCTTCAAATGACCACAGTACAGATCTGAGTTCTCTTCTGTTTTCCTTCCATGGATTTCTGGGCAGACAGAGAGCTCTGGTTTGAGGGTCAGGTAACCCCACTGACCTTAACCAAGAGACTTAAATGGCCCAGAGACTCAATTCCCTCCATCATCAAATGGGGACAAGAACATCCTGACCTTGCAAGACTGTGAGGACTGTAGAGCACATGTGTAAAGGGCCTCGCACAAGCAGGTGGGGACACTGGTGTCCACCATCAGGATGATGTTACTCCAGCAGGCCCTGTTCAAGTGAATTTGTTTTGAACTTTTTACACTGATTTGAAAGAACCAAACTCACATGTATCATTCTCTGAGCATAGGGGAAAGGAAACTGACTCTGTATATTCAGATATCAACCATACACTGTGAGGGCTTCAAGAAGTGTAGGATTGTGTACATTTGGCAGGAGGGAACACCTCCTCTTTCTGAGGAAGAATCTGGAAGCTGGTCTTCCCCCTCCAAGAACAGGTGGATGCACTGAGTCTTTATGCAAAGGCAATGCTGAGCCATGGCCATGGGCATCTCGGGGGGATCCTGGTAATGGAGACTGTTCCAAGTGTTCCCAAAGAGATGGAAAATGAAAGCTGCAGACAGTCACTTTGGGGCAGTGATGCATAATAAACATGCTTTTGGCCACCTTACAATACTGCAAAGTTGCCAAAATATATAAAGTTGACATTTGAGTTCTATTTTTATAAAATTGTTCTAGATTTATGGCAATATATACATGTGTATTTATAGCCTTCCAATTTTAAGTTATAGTTTTGTGCTTTAAAGAAATATATGTATTACTAAAGAACTGTATATTGAAAGCACTATATTCAAAATATTTAAAGACCGTAAGTCCGTATTCAATAAAAAGTAATGCCAAGAAAGATGGTGGTAGCCATTGTTTCTAAACAGAAATTGTATACAAATTTTGTTATAAGTTCTGTGAACCGGGTCAGCGATTCGTTTGGCATTGTCTGAGGTCTCTCAGCAGCAATGGTGGATGTCTGAAAGATACAGGGGCCAGGAGGGAAAGGGAGGAAGGAATTTAGTCTCTCCTCATGTGTGACATGGGGAAAGGGTGAGGGGCAGAGAGGCTTCATGGGCTGTTTGTGATCAGGTTGGCCTGCACAAACATGCATAGAGAGAATGGAGCGGAGGGAAAAGCACCAGGCTCAGAGATGGGATGTCTGGACAATAAATCCAGTTCTGTCTCTAAATTTGGGGATCTCTGACTTCACCTCTCTAGCCCTATTTCTTCGTCTGTAAAATGAGGATGTTGATATCAGCACCACCCACTTCCAGGGTTGTGGTGAGCTGACATAGATGATCCTTGTTTGAAAACTTAGAAAGTGATGTCAAAGCCTCTTACTGCAGACTCAGTTCCCTGCACATAGGCTGCTTCACTCTGCACAGTCCAAAGATACATTCCAAGCTGCAAGACTCCCTCTGCAGCCACAAAAATCCACAGAACCGGAACCGAGTTTCCTCCAAATGGAAGCCCAAATGCTTTCCAATCAGAGCCTAAAAGGAACCTTAAAGTGTATGAATTTGTGTCACTGGGATGCAGAAGAGGCATTATTCAAAAAGAGAATGGCTAAGAATATTCCAGGAGGAATGGTGGGGTTAGGAAGGAACAAGATCCAAGTAAAGCGGGTTTATTCTTATTTATCACATATATCACACGTGGCCCTAAATTAACAAGATGAAGACAATAGACAGAGAAGGGTACAAACAGGCAAGCCAGCCCCCAACATACAAAATCATGCAACCCCTCCTTGTTGTCTCTGGAAGTCCTGTGGGATGGATGTTGGCACATTTAGCCAAAAAGGTGGAGAAGAGTCCCTCCCAGAGAAGATTCCCTCCCACACAAACATCCAGAAGTTCCCAAATTAATCCTAAGCAGTTCTCCTTGGTAGTGGGGGGAGAACCAGTGCCTTGCATTCCCTTTATAAATTCAGCCGATCTCCCTCCTTTTATATTTCTCTGAGTTTTCCTTCCAAAGAGGCCTCTCGAGTCTGCAGGATGAACAATAAGCCATCCCTGGGAAAAGCTGGCCTCACATCACATAAGAGGACCTTTCTAAAAGCTGTTCTCCCTGTTTCCTAAAGACCAGCTCTCTTCTTGTTCTATTCCTACTGTTTCTTCCATCTCCTTGTGGGATTTCACTTCCTATTTCTGTCCCTCATATGTCACTGGACACCCAGAGTTCTGTTCTTGATCTCTATTTCTTATATTAAGGAGCAGCAAAATGGGAGACTGAATGGATGCAGAAGGGTCCCCTCCACCTATAAAAACATATGCACAAAGAGAAATTTTTTTTAACTATGTAATCAAGTTCAAAAGAAAGAAAATAAATCCTCATTATTACAGAAAAAAGAATGTCCAAAACAGAGCAGTGAGCAGGAGCTAAAGTTGTGTCAGACCAGACACAAACTCCAGTGGCTGACAGCAGGATTTACCACCCTCGCAAGTTGAGAGAACATGACCTCAGCCCCTGCAAGGTGGGAGATGGAGCTAAATTCTGCACAAAACCAGAACCTCATAGAGGTGTCCCAATCCTTAAAAAAAAAAAAAAAAAAAAAAGACTAGAAAAACTCTTCCCATCAGCCCAGGGGAGCATTGAGGAACAAATTTATAAATTTGTGCCATTTGTGTAATACATTATATGTTAAAAAAGAAGAAGAAGAAGAAGAAGATAGCAGGAAGGAAAGAATGAAGGGGGAAATTGGAGGGGGAGACGAACCATGAGAGACTATGGACACTGAGAAACAAACTGAGGGTTCCAGGGGGCAGTGGGGAGATGGGTTAGCCTGGTGATGGGTATTAAAGAGGGCACGTACTTCATGGAGCGCTGGGTGTTATACGCAAACAATGAATTATGGAACACTACATCAAAAACTAATGATATAATGTATGGTGATTAGCATAACATAATAAAAAAAACAAATCAAGAGAAAAAGAATTTGTGCCATTTGTAGATGTGCAGTCTGAGTTTATACAACTTATTTGTAAAGCAAGAATTCTAAGCCAATAATTTTTTTTTTTTAATTTCCTGGGTCAGTAAGATGCAAAGGGCCACAGCAGAATC